TCGTGTAGGCTCCCCCAAGTCACAGAAGTGCCTTTGAAAGTGGTGGGGCCTGTATTGTGTTTGTGCACAGTGCCCCTACCAAGGAGAAGCTGCTTCCCAGGGTCTGGTCGCATGATGGCAGTATTGTGCAGCATTTAAAACGAGCAGAAACAGAAGCACTGGCTGGATTTGAAAGGCTGTGGATTTATGCGTCTTGGGGAGCGGGCAGCTCCAAGATGAACCTGGAGATTTGAGCCCTGTAATAAAATGAATAACACTATAAGGGGAAATAAGAATCAAAAAGTTCCTCATTTTTATATGATTCCTTCAATCTGGGTAGCAGCTAAGTGCTTCGCAGTCTGAAACGTATTAATCCTGCTGTAGCTCTGTGAGATGGGGCTGTGCTGTTATTACCCATGTTTTATTGATGGAGAAACTGAGGCACAGAAAAGGTAAGTGTCTCATGCCCTCGCTGCTGTTCTCACTTTTCACTCGCAGTTGTGTGCTGTCTAATGAATTTTGGAGTTTGTGACAGCAAAATCTGAGGGGGGTTTCACACATTTCTGCATTTTTCCTCCTGCATATTTTGTCTAAAGCACAAGAGGGTTGCCAAGATATCTGGCTCCCTTTCTTCCCGTGCAGTGCCAGAAACCACGTCCAGCTGCACCCTAGGTCTGTGGCAGTCAGCACTCTGGATGATGATGAAATAAAAAGCCCATAAAAGATATTGATATTTAATTGAAACACCTGGAAGAATCACTTTGTTCCTATAAAGCTCAAATTATTAACATTCAGGGCCATTGTTGCAGTCCATTTAATTGGACCCAAATTGGCCAGCCTAACCTGTGGCATCACATGGGCGTAAATTTGATGTAGTGCAGTGTAAAAATGGCAGATTTCACAGGAAATGGGGCTGGCAAGGAGCAGCAGCTTGATTATCACTAAAGTGGATTGTCCAGTAAGGGACCCCAGCCTGATAATTAAGGCTGAGCCTTTGTAAAATAAACCGTGGCTGCTCATCTCCTAAGTTACCATTCAATAAGAGTAAGGGCCTGCTAGCGAGATGAGGTCATGAGGAACTGTGTGTGCTCAGCACTTTTGGAAATCAGGTTAGTTATTTAAGGGACCCCGGTTTAAAAATTCTGGCTGAGGCTTAAGGCTAATCTACCCATAAGAGTGTGGCCAGCATCCCTCCGGCAGGTAGAGGCATAACATTTTCCTGACAGCTCCACTGGCAAAAGCTTTGGGGTCGATGCAGCTATGCTGGAAAAACGTTTTGGTTTTTTTTGCTGGTCCGTTTATTTTGCTGGCTGGACTAGAGTGATTGCTGCCAGCAAAAGCACTTCTTTGGCCAGAAGATCTGAATGATTGCTGGGAGGGTTTTCAGGTGATAGCTGGACCCAACTTTTCAGGGTGAAACATCCAGCACATGTTGAGCTAACAGACAGAAAGCAAGTCAGCTGTGTATTTGTTGCAAAGTTTAATAAATGCCATGGGCACATGTATGTGTATTTGTCTTGAGTTTGGAAAAACTGATGTTTACAAATATTCCCCCCCCCTTCTTTCTTTTTAAGGCTAAAATTGAAGCATGCTGGGAAGTCGTAGGAACTGTCAGCAAATCTGAGGTTGAAGGAAATATCCCTGTCGTCGACTGCTTAGACTTCCAATGGGAAAAACCCACTGTTTTAGTCCTAGGTACTTCACTTTGCAGAAGTTATATTGGGATAAAGGTGTGTAAGTGAGTGAATGATGTGGAGACTTTTACTACTTAATCTAGCGTCCATATGAAGTCGATGCATCTGGGTTGTCTTCCTTACATGAACTCTTCTTTAGGGCCTTCAGTCTGGGAACAAGCTAGGCCCCAAATAATAGAATAAGTGGATATAAACAGTGCAGGAATAAATTTAGTCTGGAGATTAGAAGAAGGCTTCTAACTATTGAGAAGTGAGCATCTGTAACTGCCTTCCAAGAGGAGCAGTGGGAGCAAAACACCTAACTAGTTTTAAGATGGAGTTTAGTAAGTTTATAAATGAGATGATCTGGTTTTCCGGGCTAATTCAATAATCCAGGAGTCCTCGGTATCATAAAAGCACCGGTCAGAGCCGAGGTGCCTGTGATGTGACTGTGACAAAGCGAAGCTTGTGGAAAGTTGCTGGCCCTTTGCTGATTGTGTTATGCCTAGTGGTGAGTGAGATGTGAGAGCAACAGGGCATTCGATAGTGCAAAGAACTGTTTCACTAAAACAGTGAAATTTAGCTTGGCAAAAATACTCGATTGACTGCCCCAAAAGGCCAAAATTCCTGTTTGCTCAGTGAATGGGAGCAGTCAGAGAGGTAGCGATGGAAATTGGGTCTTGATCCTGATGTGGACTGAACCCTTGTAGTAGCGCAAAGGAAGCTGCTTGTTTAGCTGGATACATCCATCCCTAAATGTTTAAGGGGCTCAGGTGGGGGCCAAATGAAATTTGTGAGGGAGATGGTCATTAGCGCAGTGTCAACAAGCAGGTGGGCTTCATGCTGTTTTGTGCCGGCCTTCGTGGAAAGCCTTCTCGAGTCACGCGGAAGCCCGTCTGCACCGTGCCAGCAGGCAGCGAAGGTGGTTCAAGCCATTATGCGGAAAGGTAATGTCATGCTGATGATTGGCCATGGAGGGGCTGTAATCCGGCACAGTGCTATCATTTACTTGGCTCTGAAGACGTTTCTTTAATTAAAATGTTTATTGAACTCCTGGAAATACTGACAGGACGACACAGGAGATCTGGCATCTCGACAAGATGTGTGGTGCTATATTACAGAGGGAATAGAAAGGCTGGCAATGCAGATGATGGGCCACGAAGAAATACGTGCCAGAAACGACGACAACAGCAAGGGGAAGGAAGGGGGAGAGAGTGACAGTAGTGTCATTACCTTGAATTATGAGAGATTTCTCCAGGAAAAAGTTCAAATATTCTTTTGTCAGGGGAGATTGGAGGCTGATTGGTAGAAGCTTGCGAAGAGGTCCCAAACCTTACTACTGTAATGATTTCAACTCTCTGCTGAGCACTAACTCTTCCTGGGAAAGAAAATTGAGCATTATGGAGTAGTGTGCTACTGGGGTTGTTTGAAGAAGTATCCTGGATCTAAATATGTAGCTGTTGTATACCTGTGGCAGCAATAGGGAAGAGTGGAAATAAATTAGCACAGGACCGAGCTTCCTGTATTCGGTACGGATTCTTGTAACAAGAAAAGTGTCATCAGTTTGAATCCGTCTGCCCAGCATCCTCATTAACCTCGCTTGCTTGCCAAAGGGCATGGTTGGAGCAATGCTTCTCCAGGCTGTCCGTGTGCAAGGTCTGTGCCTGCAGGGATGGGCTGAGTGCCCTAAAGACTAACTATTCTCCAACTATTTGGGTTGGTCTAATAAAAGAGATCAAATTCACCCAAGGAACCTTGTCTGCCTAAAGACTGAAGGGCTTTTATGGGCAGGGACTAGATGAGCATCCTTCCTTGTCCTAGCAGTGTGAGCAAGAGGGTAATTTGCTTTCCATACCCTTTCCTTCTCTGTGCTGAAAGCTGACACTGAATGAGGGAGCCCATTCATACCCTTAGTGGTGTTGATTTTATTAAGATGCTTATGCCACGCCAGCCACCGAACACCCGTCATCTTTTTGTCTTCGTTTGGCTGCACTGGAACGATCCAGAGCCACAATTCTTAATGCCAGCATTAATTCTAGAAGAGAGGGTAAACCTCATTTTTCAGCTTCTAACTCTTTGGTATTAAAAGGTTTCTGGTACCTTCATCTGAAGCATCAGGTGTTGTCATTAGAGACAGGATGCCGGAGTAGATGGTCCATGGTGTCTTGGCTAGTGTGGTGAGAGGAAAGGCCCTATCCCCACCATTAGCAGCCCTTGGAGAAATCTGGCCCAGCCCTGAAAAATATGACACTAGTGGCTTGTCGTGCAGGGGATCCTACAGTTGCATTTCAGCTGCATTATCGCTAGGAGACAACCTGAGATGGAAAGCAAAGAGGGGCAGTGGTGAATGTTCCCTGCGCCAGTATAAATGACGATTTTACCTGATTCAATCGACACTCTCTCCCACATGTCACTCTCTATCTAGAAGTCTTTTTGGCCTGAATTTATGGATCCTAATTATTTTAAATAGCTGAGGCCATAAAAACCTTTGCAAGAGCTGGAAGCAAAATCGTAAGACCCTTATCAGCAAAAGAAAAGGGGGTGTTCCAGGAAACACGATACCTTCGGTGATCTCCACTGTCCCAGTGAAGGAATCCCACAAGATGAGCTCAAAAGCTGAGGCAACAAATGAAAAGAAGACTTTTTCTGTGTTAAGGCAAGAAAGAAGATGGGAAGATGAAATTCTTCCTGTTCTCCGCTATTGCCGGGGGGAAGGATGTTCTGTTAGCCATCTTCAGGTCCCTGCTCTGCCACCGACTTGCTGTTTGACCTTGAGTAAGTCACTTAGGTCTGGTCTGCACTGCAGACTTTTGCTAGTACAGTTGTGTTGCATAGGGACATGAATTCCTCCCCCACCCATAGTATTTGTGTATCGGCAGAAACCCTGTTGTAGACGCACTTATGCCAGCAGAAAAGCACTTTTGCCTGCATTAACTTACTTCACTCGTGGAACTGAGTTGGCTGGGATGGATTAGCCGAGGATGATCCTGCCTTGAGCAGGTGCAGATGACCCCATGAGGTCCCTTCCAGCCCTACTTTCCTATTATCTGGTATACATAATATTGGCAAAAACGCTCTTCTGTTATAATGTGCCTACCTAAGAGGTGCTGCCAGCATAGATTAAACCAGCCAACTCTTTGGCGTGTAGACAGGGTCTTCGTTTAGTTTCCCCCCCGTACAATGTAGATAAATACCTTGCAAGGGTATTGTGAGGTGCTGAAATGCTAAGTAAGATATTTGTGTACCAGGTAACTGGGGATTATACGTTAGATGGACAGCTTTGACGACCTCATCCGCTGATGGAGATGGAGGTGTGCACATTAACATTTCCAGCATGTATGACAGCTGAGTAGTGAGGTCAGAAGCCAGTAGAGGTGGCTCCTCTCTATAGTCATGGTGAGGCCGTCTACAAGGATGGTTGGCTTCCTCTGCAATGGGTCTGTTATGTTAGATGCAGACCAGGGATCATGTCTTATTGCATTTACTATGTTCCACTTATGTCTTGAAAAAGCCTTTGGGTAATGAAGCTGATCTGGAGTTCGAAATGGTATTGGGCTACTCCGCCCATGCATTGTGTGTGTTTTCTGTCTACATGTGGGGTTGTTTTAAGCCTCTCCTTTCCATTTTCCTTTGTGACAGTGCAAAGCAAACCACTGCTAATGACTGGGGATAGATTTCACCTCTGTTTCACTAGTGTATCAGGACAAACGTATCAGGGCTATTGGATGGTTTAACAACTAATCGATTGAAGCCGCTGGTTAAGCTCTGTGTTAGTTGCACCCAGCTGGTAATACTGTGTATTAGGAAGGCTGAACCAGTCACTATCAATAGGGATAAAAGATTTGCTGGATCAGATCAGACCCTTGGTTTGCCAAGTCCTATATCTAGCCTCAAGTGATGGACAATATGATGTACCTAGTCAGCTTTGCTTTCCAGCACATCGATAAGGTTAGTGCGGAAGGAATCCTATGGATCTTTGTATTAGTGGTATGAACTTCTGATGGCAGGTGCTGCAGAGGTGCTGAGTATTAATGCACACTCAAACTCCTTGGGCAACTGGAAAGCCAATAAAACCATGCAGTTTGGCTTGATGTGTTTTTCTGGATGACTTCTGGGAGTTGTTCTTGATTCTGGGTGGTCTGCTAGAGTCCGTGGGGTTGATAATGTGAGTGTTTGCAAGATTGGGACCGAGGTTTTGTGTAAGAAAGCCGTGGTAGCTATTTCATTGAGAAATGGGTGTCAGAGCTGCAGAAACCTGCCTTGTTGGCTCCAGGAGTCCATGAACCAATGACCAGTATCTTTGTTCTACAGGGAATGAAGCCAGTGGACTTTCCCCAGGGACGCGAAGCTTGTGCCACAAGATGCTGACCATCCCCCCTGGAATAGCCTTGCATCCTGGACTGGATTCATTAAATGTCTCCGTAGCTACTGGTAAAACAGCATCTGTGCAAAAAATATTTGCGAGTCACGTTTCTTTGAAAAACCAGGATTCGCAGGATGCTTCTTTTTCAGCTAATGACTCCATTTTCTTTTCTTGCAGGGATCCTCTTGCATTCCATACTGAGGCAAAAAGCAAAGCAGCACAATGCAATTTCACCCTGAATTGTGCACATCTTTTGAAATCCAGCCTATTTAAGAAGCAGAAGTGTTCAGTGGTGCGTGGTTTCGTTGGTGGTCGATACAGGTGGATATGCAGATGCAGTTTTTGGGCAGGTTTCCAGTCTTTTCACAGCTGCAAGCTAAGGAGACTGTGATCATTGAGCCTCCTCCAGGGGAATATTTACCGTAAAATTTAAAAGCTTCCCAGTTATGCCCACGGGAGTCCCAGAGTCCAGTCTGCGTCTGCACACAATTGCACCTGAGCATCGAATACACCTGCCTCTTCAGACTGCACGTACAGGCTGCTGAATAGTCCTAGTTCTTACATATCTGAACTTCAAGAGAAAAGACAAATAGAGGATGCAACAAAGAAAGGTGTAGCCTTTAAAACCAAAAAGCCAAATCCTTCAGTCTTAACTGAGGCAAAGCATCCACCAAAAGCAACAAGCCTTGTGTGCTCACTTATAATAATGGAAACCAGTGCAATGAGGTAAATGATAACCAGGCTCACTGAGAGCCTTAGCACAGTAAGGAGTGCAGAGTCTGGTCCATGTTGTGTATGTTCTTCGCAGGACGATGCTATTTCCCACTATTGTTTAAACATCTGAAAAAGTGTTGCATTGAATTTGACTGATAAAGAGGGGTGTGAACTCAGTGCTCTGATAGATGTGACCTGCTGCTAAATTCACCCGAGGAGAAAATAAATGGAGCCCACTAAAATAAAATCTCTGGAAGATTTGTTGTAGGCTTGCAATGGTCTTTTTGTTTTTTTCTCCTATGTAAATCAAGTGCCCCATTAGTGAAATGGGACATGACATATTTGTGTTGGCTGCAGGTGAGGAATGAGAGCCGGGAGTCACCAGCATGTTTTTTCATTCGTATTGTGAATGTTCCCTTTGCATTATGGACCTGATCCTGTTGGGGACTGAGCCCCTGCCCAGCACCTTCCACTCCCACTGAAGTCAATGGGATTCAGGGCATTCAGCATTTGCAGGGTGTGTGGACGGAGGTTTCCTCTGCCAATGTTTCTTGTTTGAAAACTACACTTGCTAAATTATTGAGAGGCAAATGAATGTTATCACTTAGCACCTAGATTATTTTATTTAGTTACTGTGGCCCTTTGCATAGGATCCCTCATTAACACTTAATTTACAGTGCCCTTTAGGGATAATTTCAAACAATTCAGTTTACTCCCTCCTCTCGCTTCCAAATGAGCAACTAAATCACTCTGAGTGACTAATTAGGACTTTCCATTGAGCTAAATGAAATCTGTAAACTCTGGTCTGTGAATGTGAAAGATTTTTTTTTTTTTCAGCTGTTTCAGGTCAGTTGCTGGTTCCAGTCTTTGGCAGCTGTGTTTTCTGCCAGCCCAGCTTTTGTTCTGTCTCCTTGCCAGAGGTAGCTGCCTTAATCTGAAGTCACGTAGGGTGGCACCCTAGGGCCTCTAGACACATGCTCCGGGGTGGAAGCGCTTTAATTAGAGCGGCTCTCAGCATTTGACGAGCTTTAGTTAAAGCACCTCTGCCACCATTTTGAAGTGCGGGACTGCTGAGTACACGTGACGCGGAGGCAGCTGGAGCGCGCTAATTAGCACGCTCCAGCAGACTCCATGATCGAGTCCGCTCCGACACGTGCTAATCAGCATGCATCGGAGCAAAGGTTCATCCCATCTCTGGGTGCCCTTAGAGACTAACTGGTTCAGAAGCATGAGCTTTTGAAGGTGACAACCAACTTCAGATCTGCTGGCTGGAGAAGAGTGCATTGGGTTTTTTTGGTAGTTGTGTAGGCACTCGCCCAGCAGGTTTACTTGCAACTGAATCCCATTTTGAGGGTGCTCGGAGTGGTATTAGCTGCTATGAGACTACTTCTTTGCAGCATCCCTGTGTTGAAGCAGAGATGAAGGTTAGGGTGCCTTTAGGGAACCTTTAAGTGACCAGTGCTTTTTCTTTTTGTAGTTCTGCTTGTCGGTGCCCCTCTCTGGAGTGGTTACGCCAGGGCTGGATCCTGTGGGTTTTTTTAATATGTTCCAAGCTCCCACTGATGTCAACGGGCATTTGGCAAACTGGCTGCTGGCACGGGGTAGCTACGTGGGTTTATGCCAACAGATTCTGGCTCACAGTCTACGTTTGTGGCAAGAACGTCCATCGTTTCCCTCCCTCTTGATCATTCTGCGTGCCAGTTCTTGCCACGCAGCCGAGGTTTCTTTTTCTTTGGGTCTCTGCAGAGAGGTGTTGCCGTGATGGATTGCCTTTAGGTGGATACCTTGCAACTGAAAGCTGCAAAGAGACGTCGTAACCTGCTGCGCGCTCAGGTGCTGTTCTCTCCTGATTTTTGTTCACATTACACGAGGCATATCCCTCCCGCTTGATGCTTTTGCTTGTGTTTTTGACATTAGGTCTGGCACTCTCTGGTTTCCTTAAAACTTTGATGAAGCACACGACTAACAAAAAAAAGAAGGGAATCCAGCCCTGGAGCCTTGTGCCAGCAAAGTTCATTGGCTTGTGCCTTGCTTTTGAAACTAACCTGCCAAGCGTTCTCCAGAATTGAATTGTCCTGTGGCCACTTTGCGCACTTCATTTTTCCTTTGCAGCAGACATCTAAATAACCTGTCTGGTACGACTCATAGAAGGGTCCCCCTGACTAGCCTTAGTTGTAAATCCTTGCTCTTGGCATTTCTTAAAGCATTGCTTTAAATCGTTTTTCCAAAGAGAGGATCTCTATATCTTTTAATCAGATGGAGAACTTGTCTTGCCGGGAAAGTTACACCAGTATAATCTGAGGTCTGAATTTAAACTGATCTAGCTAATTGAGTCCAAACCCCGACGTGCACTTACTTATTTTAGTATAAGAGAGAAGCATCCTGTGTAAGTTGAATTGAGAACGGGGTTAAGTTAAATGAAAGCAAGCCCCTCTTAAACCGAAGTAGGAGCGACCATACGTGCTGACACAGATTTCACCACATTCAGCCTGAGGGCTGATTTAACGTAAGCCTTTCCAATTTGCCCATGTAGACAAGACAAGGGAGGAAAAAGAGCCTCAGGGTTAAGGCAGTGCACTGGTACTTCGGGTTCCATCTCTCAGTGTCGCAACCTTGTGTGTGACCCTGGGCAAGTCACTTAAACTCATTGTACCTTAGTGTCCTATTTGTAAGATGAGGACAACAATGCTTCCAGTCTTCCTCCTGCTTATTTAGATTGCAGGCCTTTTGTCCTAGGACCGTCTGTTTGCACGGTGCCTCGGATACTCCCAGTCTGGTTTTTAGCCCTGTAAGAGGGTACTGTAATGCAATGTGAGGAAATAAAACCTAGATAGGCATAATTTTTCATGTTGGACCTTTGACATTTTCCCATTATTTGGCCTGAATTTCAAGGGTGTTGAGTACTTGAGGCTCTTAGTTTAGTCCATGGAAGATGAGGTTACTCACCACCGTTGCAAATAAAATGAGTTGTCCTCCATTAGATCGTCAACTCCACCCTGTACGGAAAGCAGTGCGGGGGGAAGCCCAGCAAAAGTTACGGTTTTGTGAAACTTGGCATTTTTGTAGCCGGGAAGGTTTAGAGGTGACAGCCATCTAAAAGATGACATTGAAACAACTGCTTGATTGAGAGAAGTAATGCTTTCTGGGGTAGATATATAACATTTTAGTTTCCTGTCCAGAATGAGTCAAGTTTTAATATTGTCATAAAAAATGACTGGGAATGAAGAAAGGTTCATATGAATCTTCCCCTGTATTTCAGGTTATTTTTAAGAAAAACCCTTGTTCTGTCCATTAGGTGGTGCCCATGATATACATTTTCTCCTTTTTAGAGGAAAGAGAGGATTCTAGAGACTTAGAAGCAAACAAAATCCATCCTTGTTAACATCAGGCAATGAAAATAAAGCCTTGGCTTTATTCTGGACATACAGGTAGGTTTATTCTTTTCTTACTTTGTATTAGGTTGTTTTTTTTTATGTAATAAGTTTGAAAGTGAGGGACATTTCCTTAGGTTTATTCCTACATGTGTGCTGGAAGATAACCTCAAGTGTAAGAACATCAAGTGTAAGAACAGCAGTGCAAAGTTGCATTAAAGAGGAGGAAGTTGTCAGTAACGTGAACATATTGGGCAGTTGCTTCACCCTATTCCTGAAGGCTCCCAGAGTGCTTTGCAAACTCGATATCCTCAGTGATTTTGATCAACCTTTTCAGGTGAGTGGAGGCTGATGGGAACTTTTGGGAGGTTGCACCGCCGTGTTATCTTCCTGTTGTTACTCCCGATTGCCACACGGTTCCTTCCGTCTGCTCTGGAGACCCAGTCCCGACTCCCTAATGTGTCGGGGTGCCAAAGGTATAGGAAGAATGAATTTGGAGGGACGTGAGAGGTCATGGGAGTATGGATGGGGTCCGGGTGTGAGAATTCAGCACCACGTCTTGCTCCTCCGACCCGTAGAAGTCGACCGTGACGTCTCACGAGAGCAAAGCAAATAAAAGCTGGCTCTTGGCCATTGCATCTCTCAAAGATTTTAGAGATGGGAAACACCTGGGAGGTCCCTTTGGCCGGTGCGTGGTTGTTTCCTGTTGCATGTACAGATATAAATGATTTTTTTTTCCAGCCTCATTTTAGATGCACTGAGGTTTTCATGACTTAAGGACAGTATTTGATAAATGTAATTGATCTCTCTATTCTACGTGGGCGCATTGAAAAGACAAGCAAACCCCCCCCTCCCCCCCCAATAATTTTGTCTTGTAGTTCAGTAATAGTTACTAAAAAAAAACAGTGGACTCTTATGCCTGATTGTCTCTTGTTGATCAATCTCGTGGCCTTTTTTCCTATGTGGTACCTTGCTTTGACAGCAGCAGATCCCAGGGGTGGGTAAAGCGTGCAGCCTTCACTTTACGCTGGCAACAATACTTTATAACATTTTTAATGAGGCCTTCTATTAACACACTGCTGAATTGTTATAGCGATGCACATGGTGTGCTAGTGACTGTTTTGCAACCCATGCCGGCGTGGGGTTCGGGGATGAATTGGGGAGGATGTGCACCTGTGTGTGAGTATGGGCATAATCCGAATAGGCAGAGCAGTTCTGTGGGTGGCAGTTCTCAATTGCATGCCGGTTCTTATATTTATACGTACTGTATTACAATTATTGCAGGCATGTTTGTCCTCAGTTGGGACTATGTTCTCAGTTTACTAGGGGTCTCCATTGCTTTTCTAAATCTGCGTAACACGGATTTGTCTTCTGATAACTCTGGCTCCTTTTCCACTGGGCTAAGATGCGTGGCTCTTCAGTGCAGCGATTGACCACGCTGCTGGGATAGTCGCAATAATTTACCAAAGCAGATCGTCAGAATTTCTCTCTTATTTTGAACCCTATCCTGCAAGATGCCCAGAGCCCTTTGCAAAGTGCTGAGCAACCTCCGCTCCCCCTGAAATCAAGAGGATCCCAGGGCGTATGGACCCTGCCAGGATCACAGCATTTGAGACGGAGCTCTGTGCCCGATTTAATAAATACGATCCATTAAGTGGATCATTGCCTGCTTCTCCAGTTAATTTCCTGGGTTTTTTTAAATGTTAAAATGTAGTTTTTATAGTCTTTCATTATTTTTAGCCTTAAGCCTGAATATAATTGTCCCTGTAATACAACTGTAAAAAAAAAAAACCAAAAAACCAACAACAAAAAACCTCCCAGCTTTATATCATAAAGGAGGGCATTAATTGTCATTTTTTTGTGTACATCAGCAAGATCAAAACATGTTGCCT